GACACATAATAAAATTACTTGGTCAAACAAAAAACTTGACTTAGCTTTTTGATGTGGAACCAGACTGGTTGATTTCGTGGAGTCGGATCCCGAATCCATGCATGCTTGCTCGATGACGATGAGACAAGGCAAGAGGTACATCACACGCACCGTGGTCGTGTCGACCTTGTGGCCCCATGCTTGGGGGTCTACGCTCTACGTGCGTGTGTGCTTGGTGTGTAGATGCGTACATACATGAGCCTTATGTGCCCATCGTGAGCTGATAGGATCTCGACAAAAAACGCCACGCAGCCCGTAGTGGAAAGCATCGACCCACGAGCGCAAAGATCGCGATGCACTCCGAACACCGCCGCCCGACATGCTAGGCATGATTCCTGCCGCCCACGACCGGAGGTTCGACTCGAGAGAACCAGGCGATGTCATCCATTGTCGCCAAGCGTTGCGGCTGAATCATCCGTCGAGTAGAATATTGTTGGTGAAGAAAAAATCCCATCGATTCGTCGAAGATCAGATCGCCAAGCACAACCCCTAAAGGGGACCCCTACCTAGCGCCACCACCGATCGACGAAATATATGGTCGGCCGGTCCACCAAGGGGTGCCCGTGGTGGTAGGTTATCGATGGGATGCACGTAATCGGGAAACGGATGGTGACACAAGGCGCAGAGACAACGATTTAGATGAGTTCGGGCCGTCGATCGACGTAATACCCTACGTCCCGTGTCTTTGGTGTATTGTATTGATGATGTATACAGATTAACCTGTCCTCAGGGGACCTTGTCTCTCCTTATATACTCAGAAGAGACAAGGTTACAAGTAAAGTATTCAATTTGGTACTATCACAATATCTAGTACAACTTGTAATCTTGATGTGCACGCCTTGATCTTACGGGCTGGGCCACCTCGGATGGTGTGGCCCATGTACCATCTTGTGGTACCCGGGGGTATATCCCCCACAAACATATAATATAGTATTCTTTAATACAAAAATTTTGTTGTAGCTTTAGATCTATACTTTTCTGTAATTAAATGGAATAATTCATATAGTTGCAACTTCTATAGTCTAACTGTGGTGAAATTTTTATGGTGGACTAATTATTGTATGCTTGAATTATAGTAAGAATTTATACTCATTGGATCATGTATAACTTTGTTACAGATAAAGCATAGATTTAACAAGCATAAACCTAAATAAATTTATAACTAAGTTATACATGATCCAATGAGTATAAAATTTTTACTACAGTTCAAGCATGTAATAATTAGCCCACCATAAAAATTTCACCACAATTAGACCATAGATGTTGCAGCTATGAATTATTTTAATTAATTACATAAAAGCATCGATATAAAGTTACAGTAAAAACTTTATACTAAACCATACCATATTATATGTCTATTGTGTAGATCTACTCATGTGGAGTCCAACAAAATTAGATTTTTCATTTTATGATTTTTCTGTGATTTACTATGATTTTTTCAAAGATTCAATAAAAATAAATAAAAGAGAAAAAGACAAAACCACCGTCACTCTAGCAAAACCACCGTCTAAAACCGCTTGAGTTTATTTGACCGGTTTTGAAAAATCCAGGGAGTAGAAAATCCGGTTTTTTAGTTTGGAGGTGAGGTAATCCACCATAAATAATTAGGGTTACGTAGACTTTTTTTTTTTTTTGGCTCGAAGAGAAGAGATAAGTATACTGTTGTCACTAACAGGATGAACGACGTGTTCTCACTTCTCACTCTCTGCAGAGTGCAGAGTGTATCAGCTCGATCTGCGGATGGCGGCGGCGGCGCTGCCGTTCCTGGTTTACGACGTCGGGTGCGAGTCCCAGTCGCAGTACAGCTATAGCATCACAAGCCCCATGCCCGATGTCTGGTGAACGCGACCATCGGCGGCCTGCTCCAAGACCATCGCTGCTTCGAGACGCCGCACCCGCAGGGGTGGGTGCTGGCCGGCGATGGACCGGCGAAGCTCGCAGCTTGCTGTGGGCTATGGCGGCCGGAGGACGGCGAGCGAGTCGCCCTGCCATTGCCAGACATGGAGGAAAACTTCCCCGGCCAGGAACTGCAAGTATAAAAATATTCTTACATGTATTTGGTCTTCAAATTGTAAAAAACCATTCGAGCGTGGAAGACCATATAAAAGAGTCATCAAAAAGGCCACGTGAAAGCAACCCGCACCAAAAGACAATATAAAAGGAATGGGAAAAAATTAGGTGAGGATCATCCCTACCATGACGTGGTGTGGACTGCTTGGGTGATATGTGGGCCACCACATCATTTTAACTGCACGCATAGTAAATCAGATGTCCCATGGTCCACACGTCAGATGCACATCCACGCCGTGTTTTGGTGAGGACCATCCCTACCGAATTTTTTTCCGAGGAATATGTATTGGCAATAATGGATGTGTCACTATAGCCAGGACAATTATTGAAGAGCGCATAACACCATCCATGTGTCTAAACAACCGTGAAAGCAAATAATTCAAAACGCTCTAGAACGCTCGTCGAGCAATTATAAAAGAAGACCAGGCGCATGCATTCGAGGACGACCTCCTTCTACACACACCTCTATGAGATGAGAAGAAGCTCCAGCCACTGCTGCTCCACATTCCACCAACTGTAATACAGAATAAAGAGTTGCTTGTGACCACCTCAGGCTTGTAAGGTAATTCCTCTAGATTTTTTATAAGTGCTTAGGGTTTTTCGAAAGGAATAGTTTCCTTTTGAAAATCACTACTTTCTTTTAGTTCATTGATATTTTTATACATAGTGCCACGTGGAGGATGGCCCAGCTCGTTTTAATTCTTTTATTTAGTACTCATCATCCTCCTCCTCGTCACGCCAAATGCGTGTGTCTGGCTTCTCCTTTTATAGCCACTCAACGAGCATTTTGGAGCATCTTGAATTATTTGCCTTCACTATCGCTTGGACACCTGGACAATGTTGTGCTCTTTAATAATCCTAGCTATACTGGCACATCATTGTCCCTGCATACTCTTTTCGCATTACCTTTTGACGCGGGCTATTTTCAGGTGGTCTTCTGGGTGACTCCTTTGGTATGGTTCCACGCTCAAATGATTGATGCTAGAAATATCAAGCAAATTATAATGTATTTGATCTCCAAATTTAAAAATATATTCTATGCATATTTGGTCAGAATAGTGTTCTAGGTGCCTATACTCTTTTTATGACCTTTCAAATTTTAATTCTAGCTCGTCTTGTGTTTTACTTTACCTCAAGTTATATAACAAGTATGTATCAATTCTAGTATTAACTTAACTGCTTATGTGTTGTGAGGTATGCCAAGTATGTTTTTCAAAACGGCGTGGCTAGCGTCCGGACGTTCGGACACTCGCGCAACCTGCCCCCATCCGCCTAGATTCGCCTCGTCCCGCATGTGCACCCCGCCTCGTCGCTACGCCCGCCGCTCCTTCTCGCTGATCCCTCCTCTCTCTTCGAGCGGGCGGGACCCGGGAGCTGGGACAAAGGACTGAGGACGAGAATGCCCCGCCCGCCGGCCCCCGGCGCGCCACGCGCCCCGTCCGCCAGCCCCCGCCTCACCCCATCCGCAGGCCCCCGGCGCCCGGGGCCATGCACCCATCACTCACCGTGCCCCCTGACTCTCTGAGCAACATGAAACACTTGAATGGAACATATGTCTGAAATAGATAAAATATTTGGAATATACACTTGCAATATATGTGTGAAACATATGCAACATCCAGATAATACACTTGCAACATGAAAACACTTGCTACAATATGACTGAAACAGATAAAACATTTAGAACATACTCTTGCAACATAGTATGTGTGAAACATATGCAACATCCATATCAAAACGCTTGCAACAGACATCTGAAACAGATAAAACATTTTGAACAAACGCTTGCAACATACCTCTGAAACACTTGCAACATGTGCGACATCCCGACCTACTTTTGCAACATCCATATGAAACATTTGCAACATATCTCTGAAACACTTGAAATTTACATGCAACATACGGGGAGGGGAGGCCGAGGCCGGGCGATTCCAGCCGTCAGGGTGGGAACCGGCGGCACGCGAGCACTACCAGCACCGGCCGAGCTCGTGGGTGCCCTTGGCTCGGCTGTGGACGACCTGAGGCGCCCCATCACGTGCGTCCAGCGGCCATCAACGGCGTCCGTGGCGGCGAGGCATCCCGACGGCGCTGGGTTAGGGAAGAGGCCGGGGAGGCACTCTGTTGCCAGCGGACGCGAGAGAGAGAGACCGAGAGGTGGGGAGGGCGAGAATGGGGAGAGCAGAGGTAGGCGGGCGGCGGCCGCGACAGCGTGGGAGTGAGCGACGTAGGTGGGGCGCACAGCGGGCATGAGCGAGGAGCGAGAGGCGCGGATGGGGCGCGTGACGGGCGGGAGCGAGGAGCGAGCGGCGCGGGATGCGGCGCGCGGTTGGGGGAGGTGGCAGCAGCGAGGCGGAGTGGGGCATGCTTCATTCGGACGGACGGACTCCCGGGTCTAATCATTATGGTCTTCAAAACTATTTACTCTGCACCTTACATTCATATCCTATTTAGTATTGACACTTTTTCTTGTTTTAACTTCTAAATTTAAATATTTTAGCTTTTCTATTTTGTTTTAACTTTATACGAATCAAAAGAATATACCGGAATATACTTTCTAGACAAAGGACATTAAGATTAGTCCTAAATAATGTCAAAGATATTTTTTGAGGAAAATAAATAATGTCAAAGATATTACTGTGCAGTGACAACATTCTTTACATTTCTTCTGATTTTCGTTCTTTTGCAGCTCTCATAATATATAAACAGAGGCAGTAGACGACATTGTTTGAATGATGTGAGAATATATACAGAAATTTGAAGCAAGACCTTCAGATTATTTATTATGGATCTCATGAACTTGACGAGATAGAATCTTTGAACAATTTTTTGATATATGGAATTTCCGGTAGCACCCGGCAGCCCTCTCTCTTGAGAGTGCATAGCCATGTGATCTATAAGATGAACGTGTGCTCACTTGCTGCAGAGTGTCCTTCAAGCCAGGTCTTGTGGATATGTACCAGCTCCAATCCCTCTGGAGTGTCAGACTGTCAGTTGAAGCAGATAGTAACAGCATAAGCTATGGGAATTTTTAAGCTGAACGCAAATGCATGTAACTGCAGGACGGTAAAGGATTACAGTAGGATCGAGAGCATTTACCTTCATATTCAGCAGAAGAGTTGTGCGGCAGCAATACTGAGCATCACCTGAAATTAGAAGGAATACTAACCACTGAAGCTGATGCGAACAAATAAAATAATTTTCAAAAGTACCGAGCTCTTGGAATTGAAATGGAAAGGCAAGCCAAGAAGAGAAAATGAATGAAGGGTCACGGTATGATATGTTGAAAATTTAGTGCAGGCAGGTAGCTGAACAGAGTGACAACTGTTGGAACTCTACCAAAAATCAGTTCATCATGAGAAGAGCTATGCATGGGGGCATACCTTCCATTTCCCAGTTGTCAAACTTAACCAACCAGTTACTTGTACCCACCGGTGATGTAACAAGTCTGTCCACCCGTGCCCGGAACTTCTTGCCTTGTTTGTCACCATAGCATGAACGCAGCGCATCAATGGATGCATGAAGAGAATGCTCCGATCCACAAGGATGAATAATTGTTCCATTCAAATGCTAAGAAAGAAGAAGAAATCATCAGCTTAAACTCTAAAGGAAGCACAAGGAAACAATGAGAGGCAGGAAAATGTACATTTTGTCAGACAACAAATTACATCAGGTATTGCTTGTAAGACATTATGAGAGAAATGCAGATGTGAAATGTGTTGTTACCTTTTGCACACCACAACTTTAATTGTCTACTTCATAAAGAGATTATAGGTGTGAAAAAGAATGATGCCAATGAACTTAAAAACCAGGTTGCTTGCTCTGAAAAATTAAACAAGGGGAGTACTTACTGCAATGCTTTTCAAGTATTGTATTACTGATGGGGACTTTTGAACTTCGCCCCTCCGCCACTTCTCGTAGATAACGTAGAAATTCACCACCAAATCTGCAGGCATGATGATGCCTAACTTTGGATGAGGGAATTCAAGATCCCTAGGAGAAACATTAGGTCCTAGTTTGAAGTGTCCAATAGCTTGCATGATACCGGCTGCGCATCTCTTAGTTGAATGAATTATCTTGGGATTACACATCGCATTTTCTTTGCGCCATTGAAGAAGCTCCTCTTGGGCATTGCTGACCTGAACATGGTTTCAAAATGCTGTAGTAATTTTAGGGGTTATGGGACAGACAGTAACAGACACTGTCACCGATGTTATTGCAACATCGCCACCAATAATGAACTTTATCGGAGAGTTTAAGGGAGTAGCTTTTGTGCAGTGAATTACTGACCATGACGCCATGGACTGATGGGACACTGAACAATTCTGCATCATTTCCGGAGTCGCCACAAACAAGAATATTGTTGGGTGCTTTCCTCTGTGAAGTGAACTTGTTCAGCAAATACTGAAGAGCCTGCCCTTTTCCTGCACCTTGGCCTTGCGGTACCACATCAATAAGCACACCGTAGCTGAAGATTATTTTTACATGTAGCTGTTACACAGAAAAAAGAAGCTGAAAACTCAAAACAAGGCTCTACTGGAGAATGCCTCAGTAATATTAATATAAGAAAAGGTACTTTCTGCTGTATCAATAGAAACAGACACTGTTGCCGATTAGTTAAAAAAATATTAATATAAGAAAATTGATCTTACCCCATGTTTCTTCAACTTGTGAGGGAGAGCATGCATTACTTCCTGAGCACCTTGCTTGTCAACCAAAAATGTAACCTTATGAGGACCTTGATCCTTCTCTGGCTGTATCCGTACAGAGGATTCAGCTCAGCATCTAGCACAAAACAAAAAGCGAACATGATCATGCATGCAACGAGATAGAAACCTGCCTCAGGCTTCAGCTCAGGGAACTTTGCTGCCTCCTCAATGACGATATCCCGGTCCCAGTTGTTGTTCAAATGCTCCTCCGAGTCAGCATCGCAAACCATGTCGGCGCCATAAGCTATCACAGTCCCCACAGACATGATGGTGATGTCCGGAGTGATCAGAGGCTTGTTTTTCCTCAAATCATCGTAGCTGATTGGCGATCTCCCAGTCGAGAAGATGAGAAGAGAATCATGGGAGAACTCGGCCTCCCAGAGCGCCTCGAACCTCAGCAAGGACAAGTCTTCTGGATCATCATGATCAACCTGCATGTAAATGATCCAAAACATTGAAGAACACAGCATGGTCTGGATTCATCAGAAATGGAAGGTTTGCGCACCATGGTCTGATCAAGATCCGAGACAATCATAAGACGGGCTGAAGCGTCGAGCTTCTCCATTGAAGCTCTTGCCAAGATTGCTGGCAGGGAATGTTGGGTGTTTCTGCTGTTGGGTTCCCTGAATAACATGGCAAACAAGAGAAATGTGCTTCTCGTGTATTCTTCACCTACCCTTCGGTCAACCAGTGGCCATGTCTTGTTTCATGTTAAAAATGAAGAAGAGAAGGTGAATATGAATTGTGCCTGCAGGAATTCAGGCCACCATCGACAGCGATTGCACGATGCAGTAATTTGGGCACATGGTCAATGCTGATAAGAATTGCAGACAAAATGAAGCTGCAACTTCTGGGAATGACCATGGACCAGGTTAGGCAAATTTGCACACAGCTCTTCTTCTTTTTTCCAGGTATCAAAGTTTAATTGTCCATAAGGACTCAGCAACAGAGAGGCAAGGTCGTATTACTGAATCATGTGAAAATCCACGAACAATTTTGAGGCAACAGATTCAGCTAATTTATATATCTCATGAAATTCATGAGAAGGAATCGTGAAACATCTTTTCTTGTACATGGAATTACCGAGCATTGAGCCTGTCTGGAAATACATTTTGATTCTATCTGGACTTGAACAAAATATGTGTTATGACTATCTGCGCTTCGCAAGTGACTAATTAACCTACAAGATGAACGTGTGCTCGCTCCTGCAGAGTGTGCTTCAACCCAGGTCTTGTGGATGTGTATCAGCTCCAAGCCCTCTGGAATCTCAGGCTGAGTTGAAGCAGATAGAAATAATTAAAACATACACTATATATACAGGTTCACAAAACTAAGCAACAGCAGGACAACCAATGATTCTCGCAGAACGGGAGAATTTACCTTAATATTCAGCAGAAGAGTAGTGCGGCAGGAATACCGAACACCACCTGAGAATAGCAGGAGCATTAACAGTGAGGCTCGATTTTTTTTTTTTTTTGAAACATAAGTGAGGCTCGAATAAAACCAAACGAAATACTGAAGTGCAGACCATCCAAGGATCAAAGAAACAATAAGGAAAATAGAGACATGGTATGAAGTATAAAACATGTCATGAAGCTACATGAAAGAAGTGACGACTACTGGCATGGATTAAGAGCCACAATCAGTTTATCATGTGAAGGGCTGAGGGCAGACCTTCCATTTCCCAGTTGTCAAATCTCACCAACCAGTTACTTGTACCAATTGGCGATGTAACTAGTCTGTCCACCCATACCCGGAACTTGTTGCCTTGTTTGTCCCCATAGCAAGAACTTAGAGCATCAATAGATGCGTGAAGAGAACGTTCAGATCCAGAAGGATGAATAATTGTACCATTCAAATGCTACAAAATAAAAAAAAATATGTTAAAGAAACTTCAAAGAATCAAATTTAACTATTTAAGGCTGCAAGATGTGTATTTTCTCAGACAAAAGGCTAGTTTGCATGATTTGATCTCGAATAACTTCTGAAGAGAAAAAGACAAATGGAGCTTTGAAATGTGTAATTACTTTCTGAATTGTCCACTGTATGAAAGTGATCATGATAAAAAATAGTGGACAGTTACAAACAAAAACCAAATTACTCTGAGAACTGAAAAGAGGAAGTACTTACAGTAATGCTTTTCAAGTACTGCATAACTGATGAAGAATTTGGAAGGTCACCCCTCCGCCACTTCTCATAGAGAACATAGAACTTCACCACCACATCTGCAGGCTTAGCGGTGTCTGCCTTTGGATAAGGGAACTCAAGATCTCTTGCAGAAACATTGGGTCCTAGTTTGAAGTGTCCAATGGCTTGCATGATACCGGCAGCACATCTCTCAGTTGCATGAATTATCTTAGGATTATCTCTTGCATTTTCTTCATACCATTGAAGCAGCTCCTCTTGGGCATTGCAGACCTGAACATGATATGAAAACCCTTTGGTAAGCTTATCAGAGTAGCCACTGGCATCAACGAACTTTAGTTGACAGTTTCAAGGGACTCCTTGTGCACTGAATCACTGACCATGACTCCATGTACAGATGGGACACTGAATAGTTCTGCATCGTTTCCAGAGTCACCACAAACAAGAGTATTCTTTGGCGGTTTCTCGTATGAATTGAGCTTATTTAACAAGTACATAAGGGCCTGGCCCTTGCCTGCACCTTGTGGTAGAACATCAAGGGCCTCACCGCTGCTGTAGACTATTTTCACATCTAGCTAATCACAGTTAAGGAAGCAGAAAGTCAGAACAAAAGATGTCAATAAGTGCTGCTCCAGCATTAAAAATGTGGAAAACTGAATGAGAAATCTAGAAGGCATGCATGTGCCTTACCCCACGTTTCTCCAACTTCTGTGGAGATGATCCATTACTTCTTGAGCACCCTGCTTGTCAACGAAGAAGCTAACCTTATGGGGACCCTGATTCCTCTCTGGCTGCATCCAAACGATTAAAAAGTAAACACACAGCTCTAGTTCAGCCATCAAAATGGAACTAACCAGCCAGCAAAAGAAATCGTTGTAGCAAAGTAACTGGACATGCCTGAGGCTTTAGCTGAGGGAACCTAGCTGTTTCCTCAACGGCAATAGCCCTGTCCCAATTGTTGTTCAGATATTCCTCCTAGCCAACATCACGGATCATCTCTTCACCGTATGCTATCACGGTTCCCACAGACATGATAGTGATGTCCGGTGTGATCAGAGGTTATCTTTACGCAAGCCTTTGTAACTGATTGGCGTTCTTCCAGTCGAGAAGACCAGCAGAGAATCCTGGGAGAACTCGGCCTCCCATAGCGCCTCGAATCTAAGCAAGGACAGGTTCTCTCGATCCTGATGATCAATCTGTGAGTAAATAAATAATCTGTAAGTTTGAGAACTGGTGATCAGGTACACAACTGAAAAGTATGATTCAGCTCATACTGAATCTGGAAAATTAAACCAAGGTCTGAACTGAAACACGCACCATCGTCTGGTCAAGATCGGAAACGAGCACGAGGCGGGCAGAACCGTCGAGCCTATCCATCTGGCAGACTGGCACAACTCAGCTGTAAAAGAGGAAGAGGAAGAAGACGTGATTTTGACTGTACACTTCCCTGGACAAACACGGCAAACACAACAATGTGCTCCTTATTTTTGAGCTGCCATTTGGTCAACAACTGATAAAGTCTTGCTTTGTGGGGGCAAAAAGAAGAAGTAAAGGATGGCTGCATCGACAGGTAGTATCTCCTCCCACCTTAATATATACACTTCGTTAGAAGCAACTGTACGTCTGTACCAGCATTTGTTTTTGACAGCCAGGGCCAACCATCCACACAAGCTACTGTCCTAGCTACTGATGATAAGGAAGGCGAGGAGATAAGCATTGCTGACTGCTGCGTATGTATATGTGGAGCATATAGGAAACTCTATGCATCTATCCATAGCAGCCATGTTCACGGAAGGGAACGGGAACGTGGAACGGGACCGGGAACATGGAGCGATACTTTATAATGTTTTTGTACTATGGCAACATAAATGTTCTCAGAATGGAAACGTGAATGTTCCTAGAACGACGTTGGCAGAACAAGGAACGTGGCCATGTTTCACGTTTCCGCTTTTCCGGCTGCTAAGCAACTATCCCCACACCCACACCTATACCACCCCATGTGAGATGCTAGTAAATAGCAAGATCTCCATCTAAATATCTAATGGCTGCGCAAGCTTTGGCTTTGTGCAGAGCAAACAAATGCAACCATGAGAAGGAACCGTGCGATGGCGGCGGCGGCGGCGGCGGCGCGCGGCCGAATCTGGGCGGCGGTACGGGCCAGATTCACGGGCGCAGGCGAGATCGCGCAATGCGTTGGTTGAGCGCGAGGATCGAAGTCAACGATGGAAAGAAAGAAATCAAACAGCCGCGCGAGCGCTTCCACACAAGTACATGACAAACGGAGGTTGAATAATGGAAAGGGGCGGCCGACTGGCGGAGGGTCTCACCTGGGTCGTCCAGGGGCGGCGGCAGGACGGTGGCGGCGGCGTGTGGGGGCTTCCGGCCGGGGAGAGGAAGAATCGTCGCGCCGCTGGACGGCTGGAGGCGCTGGACAGAGATCAGGACTGGACTGGAAGAGTGGAGGGAGGGAAGTGGCCAAAGTGCGCAAAGAACAGATGCTGCTGCCGCTGACCGCTGCTGCTTGGCGCCTTCCATTATCATATCAAATATCAAACGGAAACTAAATTACACCAAGTGGAGAATATGGCCAATTTGCGCATAAATTTTTACTTCCTCCGATTAAAAATATGTGTCTATTAGAATATCATATGGCACTTTGACTAACGGTGTGTGAAAATATACACTCTTCGTCCCGAATAGATAAGAGTATCTAGTGATAAAAAAATCAAACTTTATAATCTTTATAAATTATATATAGATTTAGGACATAAAATTTACATCAATAAATTTGGTAATGCTGGAGTTAGGATGTCCGTCCGTCCTAGCCCGTCCGAACACATCTCCCAGATGTGCAGTGGACCGGCCCAACGACTCCCTCAAGTCCCATCGTCCGTTTCTAATAAAAAATACGCTTATCGCTCTTATCCGCTCGTTGCCCCTATTTGCTCGTGTGCCACCTCCGAGGAGCAGCGCTCGGCCACCGGACTGCCGGCCTTGCCTGCCAGGCGCAGGCGCGCGGCCGCCTCTAAGCCACAGTTGCCCTCTACCTCCCTGCCGCGTCGCATGGCTAATGCCTCCCTGCCGCGTTAAGTGGCTGATGCCGCCTGCCCGCCGACAAGGTCCACCGGGCCGTTGCCTCCGGCGAACTCCACACGCCGACGAGCCTCCATTCTCCTAAGTAGCAAGGAGATGTTGCGACGTGCTGAAAACGTATGTTGCAAGCGTATGTTTCAGGTGTTTCATAGGTATGTTGCAATTGTTTCATGCGAATGTTGCAAAAGTAGATCGAGATATTGCATATGTTGCAATGGTTGTACACGTATGTTGCAAAGATCTGTTTCCAATGTTTTCACTGTGCTTTCGGATTATGTTGTAAGTGTGTTTTATCTAGATGTTGCATACGTTTCACACATATGTTGTAATTGTTTTATCTGGATATTGTGTATGTTTTGCAATGGTTTTCAAGTGTTTTCCAGGTGTTTTTTTTGCAAGTGTTTCAGAAGCATGTTTCAAGTATTTCATCTGCCTTCATACGTATGTTGTATCTCGATGTTTCAAAAGTAAATCGACCGTTGCATCTCCCTCGTCACTTTTATGTTGTCTCGCCTCGGTGTCTTCTCCTTCGGGTGCCGGCTGGGCATCCGCCGCCCCCTACTCCTCTTCCCAATGCAGGTGACGCTCGGGGCGGCATGGGAAACTTACGTCGGAAGCGGATGGGGAGGGCGTAGGCGGTCCCCGCGCAGCATGCGCATGCCGAAAGCTGGGGCGCGGGCGGGAAGCGGGATGGGGCTCGGGTGTCTAGATAGGGAGGCACCGAGGGGGCGCGGGCTCCTACGTGCGTGTGAACACGCATGAATGGAGCAACAGGCACCGGTGTCCGGACGCGGACGTCCGTCCAGATGTTCGGGCGCTAGTAGGGCAAATTTATATTCAAAATAACTCAAAAATGAAATTGGTTCTTTAGCAAACAACAATATATGTAATAGAAATTAAAGGTTAATATCTATTTTTACTCTGTTTAAAATATGTTTGTCGTTTCAAAACATAGTAAATATCTTTTGTCTAGAAAAAGGATCTATCTCACTTCTTCCATAGATATAAGATTTTACTGGATTTTAGGACAATTTATTACGTTTGTCTTGCCTAGTAAGTGATGGAAAGTAGAATAATCTCTACTAAATGGTTTTAGGATACAGGGTCAGACACAAAAGGTGTTTCACATATTATCCTAAAAATAAAAAACATTTCATGAGAGAATTTAAATCTGGTTCTCAAAATATTTCTTCAACGTACAAACTAGCTAGATCCCCACTAAACTAGACTAAACTTATTTTCCTCATGTCACGTTGGCAACCTGTCCATGTATAGCACAATACATGTTACACCATTAGAGAAGCACCTGTTGTGATGTTTTCAAATCCATCACACACTAAATATGTGTTTGCTTTCGAGACTACGAAGGTGTCTAACCTAGACATCCATCTCAGACGTCCAATTTAGAAGTCTAAGTGGGGTGAATTTGCTCGGCCGGAGTATTCTAGGCTAGAGTTTGAACCAAACGAGCCCTAATTAAGAAAGGGGTTGGGACGACACAAACCTTAACATGTCTAGGTGGGAAGAATGTGCTCACCGGAGCATTCGAGACCAGAGTTTGAACCAAACAAGCCCTAATTAAGAAATGGGTCGGGACGACACAAACCATGACATGAAGAAATAGTGAGCCACGTATAATAAAAAGAACAATGTCATCGTCATCAGTTAGTTGTTAGGCGTTCAAGCTTTGCGGCTCTCTAAATAGGCCAGTGCTTGATACTTAGGGCATATTTGGATACGAAGGGCTAATTGCTAACTAGCAATTTTTTTTAGCCAAAAATTAGCCTTAGCTTATTCGAACAGGGCTAATGGGCGGGTTAATTTATTAACAAGATCTCTAACTAGTTATTAGCCAACTAACTGATCAAATTTAACTAATTTAGACTTTTTTTTTGCCTAGCTAAATCATAATTTAAGCAAACATACCCCATTGGTACAAAACCATACTCCCTCTGTCCCGGTTTATCTGTCGTTTCTGGTTTTCGTGCCACAAGTTTGACTCAATTTGTAGAAAATACGTGCAACATTTTATCTCTAAATAAATTTATTAAAAAACTAGATGTAAAGATCTTTTCAATGATACTAATTATGTAACATAAATATTAATATTTTTAATATATATTTTATTAAAGTTGTTTTTCGAAAAGCGAACATGATAGATATTTTGGGACGGAGGGAGTATGTCCTTACATCATGTTTATCCGTTGGACATTGAAATGGACAGGTCATTGGGTCACAAGCCCCAATCATCGAGCATCGACAAGCCAGGTCTTGCCGCAGTTTCCATGCCCCTTCCATAGATACTCGTATATGAATAGTAGTACTCCCACCGTCCCCAAAAATATAATTGTGGAACATAATATAATTGTGGAACAGTATCACGTGTTAGTATATCAACTTTGATCAATTATAGATAAAAAAATATAAATATTTATAATATCAAATAAATATTATTAGATTAATTATGAAATATATTTTCATAATAAATTAATTTAGAGTTATAAATGTGAATACTGTTTACTCAAGAACCCACTTATCGTTGGCTGGACGCAAGATTGAGACTCCGGCCTGGCCACAGCAGCGCGTGGCCGCATGCTAGTGGTCCTTTCAGGCAAGATCCAGGAGGCCTCGGGGGGTCAATTCAGACAAGTCACATCGGGATGCCGCTCGTGCTGCTGGTCTGTGTGTACTAATCGCTGCCAATCTGAAACAGCAATGAAAGAACGAAGCTTCCAAGAAACAGCTTGTGTCGTGTACAACCAAGTCATTTCTTTTTCCAATAGAAAAAAAGGTACGCGCAGATGCAGCCACTGTTTCGGTTTTCTATGTACAGTAGCACAAATCGGCTCAATGTAATAGGCCATGTTTGGAACTTTAGATTGAATCTAATTTTTAAAAGCTACTCCCTCCGTCCCATAAAAAGAGCAAGACTCATGCTAGTCAAACTAGATTTGTAAAAAAATATTAACAATATTTGTATCTCCAAATAAGTTTATTATAAAAATATATTCAAGGGTCTATCCAAATAACTATCCTAAGCTTACCATATTAGTATCATTGGATAGACCTTTAAATATATTTTTATCCTAAGCTACTCCCTCCGTCCCATAAAAAGGCATGTTTGGATTCATGAAGATTGTTATATATATTTGATCAAAGTTAAAAGATAGTTGACTTCTTGAAAAACGAGAATGACTCTTTTTATAGGACGAAGGGAGTAGATTGTTAGAAGCTAAGATATAGGTCTGTTTGGATCTTATCATATTCCACAATCTAACTTGATG